TTACGGAATAGATGCCTCAGCCTGTTATGTGCAGACGAGGCTGGCACGTCAACGAGGATAGAATCAGCCGCGTGCTAAGCCAAGCCGGTAAGGTGACCGGCAAGGAGCGGGCCGGGAGGAGTGAGACATTCGCTGAAGAAGTGGAAAATAGCGAGAGGGGAGAATCATCGGAGGAATTTAGGATTTATTTTGTGTATAGCATGATCCCTTTACTTTGCACATTCTGCTGGAGCCTGGCCCACACGGAAGGTAAGAAGAACCAAGAAAAACAAAGAAAAACAAAGTACGAAGTAGCGTAAGGGTCCTCATCTGTCTTGCTGATTATTGTTAGATAATTTCATTGTTTATCATGAGTAAGAGGACGGAGGAGTAAGATGAATAAGGTTTGAATGTCTCTCATGAGGTAGATTAAGCCGGCGGCCTACGTTAAAGGGAATTGCGATTGTTGATCTTCATGTGGTTGGACCCTGCTTCATTCCTTTTGCTGCTGCTGCTGCTTGTAATTACATTCTTGACTACTTTCTGGTGGCTTGCCTACAGACATTACCCTAACACACAGACAACAACATCCGTATAGTCCTTCCTCCCCAACCACTTCATCCTTCAAACGATCTAATCACCCAGGATCAGAGATAACAGCCCCCCTCCTCATCCTTCAGCAACGACGAAAGTCCTGCATAACTCCTGATTATACCCCCAACCATCATCACAATGCCCCCACCCCCAGTCCAAACCAGCAAAAGCACAGAGAGGATCCGATATTCCCCTAACGAGCCCAGGATATGAATCCTGTCGGCTCCAACTTCTCCCGAGGGCAAGTCAAATCCACCCATTCATGCAGTGAGTCAGTGATTCAAACACGAAGTACGCAATCCCCCTACTATATTACACCCAATTATTTACCATTTTGACGTTTTCTTCCATATAGCAAACAAATATCGCCACTAGACTAAGACTCCGGAGCGGCAACGGAGTCGGAATCGGAAGAATATGGTCTGCTTCACATAATCGTTTTACTACTGGATTACTAGATAGTCCGGGGATATTCCGCGTTTAGGCTACCGTGTGGATGCCTTGGAGGGTCAAGTATTAGCCTCTCCAGTTTCTAATTGCTGATCAAGATGTTTTTTCAGTGGAGGTGGTTACCTAACTACGTTGCATCTAGCTTAACGGCTTCAGGATGGTCTCCATTGTGGAGACTTATTTGCTGCACAGGTGAGGCTATATTGATAGTCATAGGAAATATTGGTATATCTGCACCTGCGATTACTTACCTGAAGTAGAAAGTGTTGAACATCGTTATTACTGGTCAATATTATCTCCTTGCTAGCCGCAGGGCGGGATGTACACGATACGAAGGCTGCATCTGCCTAGTGTGGTAAATCGATCCCATCCACCCGTTCGCTGTGGAGATGGATCACATCAGTTGCCGATTGTTGCCTCTACGGCGAATCCTTACCCTCCGATATCCGCTGCATGCCTGCTCAGAAAGCTTCTATAATCCTTTGCTCCAATGTGGATGTGATTGACAGGGAGAGAAGAGGGGTGGTGGACAGGAACCAGATACGTGCCGTGTCTACCTAGGGGTGTGGTGATGTCTGTGGGTATCCCTCCTTTTGTTATCGTGCGACATACCATTCTCTGTGAGTGGTCGTCTGGTCTTTCGCCACTTGGTTATTCACATATTGCAGGTGGAGGGTCCAGGACGGCAGGGCTACATGTTACAGCTGGGGAAGGGAAAACGGGAGTATTCCTGTCTCGGGAGCTAATCAACACACGGAAGGTTGATGGAGGGAAGGATAGTTGATCCATTTGACCGAAAGACCTCAAGGACATTGAAGACTTAATCGAAAGAAAGCATTACTATCATTGCGTATGTTCATATCTTCTTTCTACTATCTCATCATACTGTCTGACAAAATATCCGCCTCGTGAACTAACCCCCATTCAAATGTAGAAGGCCGTGGTATCATCCAACATATTGATCTTCTTCCTTAATGCACCATCCTTCACCACATGAAGTCGAACTACTCCTCCAAACACCTCTGATAATCCCCAGACTACCGTCCTCGTCATTCCAGTCAACTCTATCCTCGAACGCTGCTAATGCTCATCCAGACGATACTCCCAAGCTGAAAATTACACGAAAAAAGTCAAATTCATCATCATTGACACTCCAAGCAGGGTGACAATGAGCACACCCATGCACAGCCCATCATTTTCCTTGCCTGGACGCAACATTAGTTATACTTCGTTTCTCGAGGTGGATGTCAATGCAGAAGTAAGAGATTCCAGGGAACAAGAGAGACCATTGTTCAATCCTCATTTTATCTAGAGTGAAAAGCATTATATGAAAGCCGCCGTTCACATCTAACTCTTTGTTTGTAACATGGTTTCGGTACACCTCACGTCTCGTCTATTGAAGACTCCGTATCTGTTCCTTATATGGAGAACACTCTTGAGTGCCCATACCGCTGCGTCCAGATCTCCATCACTAATGTTCCGGCCTTGAAAAATCCCCTTGTTCGAGAGCACATTCTCAGCATTGACCATAGACATCTCCAAAAAGTGTATGAGTCTCACACTGTCTTATCAAACTTTCTTATAACCAGCTGCCACAGGAAAACACGCAGTTCACACACTTGCTGGAAGGCTAATTGCTTTCTTTCAAGAACCAATGGTCTCCATGCACCGTCCATGATATACTCATTTCTCTTATCAAAGAGAAAGCGCTGCAAAGCCGAGTAATTCAGGTCCGTTTGTTTTCCCCGGATCTTTATGATAATAATAACTACCTTATTGAGCAGCTTCATCGATGGAAGTCGGTGTAGGTTCCCTTTGCTGGTAGCATTTGGGCCAGAGTTTAACTCAAGAGTATTAAACTAGCTCATCCTTGTTCTAGAGACGTGATACTCGTTCGTGACGCGCGTGCATTGTAGATCCATCAAATAAGAGTGAGTACCTTGGTCAACACAGGCAATCCAACCACATTGCTGAGCATGGTTGGAATGGTGAATAAAAACCATAGTTGATTAGAATGCCACCACCGTACTTAAGCTAGTATCACCGGGAATGTTAGACATTCCACTTCTGGAATGCGAGAATGGTTATCCCAGCCTTCGAGGGGAGAAAAGAACGCCACCCATGCCCTCATATAACGATATTCTGTTGGAAGAGACACCATATTCCAGTTACAATCTATGCCGATGATGCGATAGACATGTAATTTTGTCGTGTATATCTCATTCGCGTATTGTGATGTTCTCAATGTCTCTATGGACAAGATGGAAATACTTAGTTGTCTCCGGAGTCGCACGGGGAAACTTTTGTGTCTTCGCCGCCGCATTAGGCTCTCAGCAAGGATGTCTTTGCGTAACCCCGTAGTTAGCATTAATTAGGTTAGATTCTTGACTTCGCCATTTCTTGTGCTATGCTCGCTATTTTCATTGCATTGTTCCAGCTTTCAATGGTCTTTCGGGTTGGTTACTACTGACCTAAGTCTCTTGTTTGCCATAGCAATAGGTTTCATATGGTTATAGCCGCAACATCTTGAATGTATAATCGTCTTCTTCGTTTTTTGGGAGATCTGCCAATATTATGCACGATGTGTCATGCTTGGTGTTTCATTTGTGGTCAAGAAGACTATCCCACTTGAACAAGTCACTCCGCGAGGACTATATACCCAGCCAAACAATGCACAAGCAGGCACGATGAGAGAGTTGACGACGCCGCACATGCATAGCATGAAAAGCCAGCTCTACGCAGTGAGCGAATGAGAGTCCGACGACAACAATCAGCATTCCCAGGCACCGCTCAAGGAAGATCAATTTGGTCCTCCCTCCCGGGGGTATATTCCATTTCGTAGATTTACCATTTGGGTTTGCTCAACGCCAGCGCAGCTGCCGCTTCACGCTGATAGACAATGGTGTTATACATGACATCAGCATCCTCGGTAATGTATGGGACGGTATTCCGCATCACATATGCTGTGATGGGATGCTCGTAGCGCGGCGCCTCCTATCCCTGCCCTTTTGGATAATCACCTTGTTAGTACCCGACGGATATGTTTTTGATAACTGAGATGATCTAAGTACATGCAGTAAAACGGGTGAAGAAGATGTTGTGTGCGAGACCTTTCTAAGGAAGAAGATGCCCGTGGCATATTGAGTACTAATTCTGCATTGGATAATTTGATTGATGGAAATAGCCCCATGAAACCAGCTGTCTTGTAAATGGCAATATCAGACTTTTATATAAGATCAAGGTATGCTTGTATATTGCATATAAAAGGGACCCATGACCCTGACGACTAGGTAGACGATGCATATCCTGTTTTATCTCTATATTGAGTAGCTGGTAATTGCTAACGATTAGCAATCGACCCAAGAGTGGGTGTCGATGTAGCTTATAACTTTGACAAGCTGGCTATCTCTCGCAGAAGGTATAAGAGGAGGTGAGTACGATCGTACCCTCCACGGAGCCTGTATGACGCTTTCCCGAGTTGTGTCGCCCGGTCGTAAGTGGGAATTCCCATATGTCTTAGACGGTTTTTAATTGGCCGCGCGACGATAAGATGTGCTTGCTGTATGCTGTATTTCATGACATGTAGCACTATAGATATCTATTTATATCTCCCCCTTCAGTATGCACCATCAATGGGAGCCAGTCACGTCTCAAAGTCTCTCAGTTCCACAAGATTGTATCAAACGGTATATCGGCCTGGGTAAGATGCAGCCACCGGAGCTACTCCTGGTGGAGAGTAGGTTTATCCGTCTAGCAAGAAGGTGGGATCTAAAGAGTTATAGATGACCACTGTTATGCGAAGTTGAACCCAGGTGTGTCAGACCAGGGTGGGTCATTCTAGTTTTCCTGATCACGGCTGTCTGTATTTACCTGCGCATCTGGCACTGGGATGACAATATGATTTCGGCGCAGATGTTTGCATTTTTACGCCGAGAACCTGAGCCCTGATACCTGAAACTGGACATAAAAGAAGTATCTTACCATGGTTTTCCCCTTCCTTTGCCAGAATCCGGCTCAGGGGGGCCTCGCCTCATTGCTGGCCAGGTGTCACGGATGCTGAAAAGGCCGGCGGGATTCGATTGTGATGGATGCGGATGGCTCTTAGACTGGATCTCGAAGCGACAGACGGGTCCCTGGGTCTTGAGCAGCATGTACCGAAGGCGATTTAACGTGTTAATCATTCTGGCGAACGGCTGCTGATCGTCCCGCATATACACATCTTCTGTCAAGCTATTGTATTCACAATCCGACTTTAGAAAATCTAACCAGGCAGAGTAGGAGATATTGGCGGGTCGGATCGGCTGTCTGGGTTCAGAGGCCGTGCTTGCTTCAACAAGAATGATCGTGTCTGAGTACCCAACAACATCAGTCTGGCCGGCACGATAGGCAATCGGCAGAGAGTAAGAAAAAAGCTCGTAACTTGAGCTTGGGATTGCTGGCACAGTGGGTTTGATACCGGTATGTTCGCGATGGCCGGTCACTCCACCCATTATAGTAGCCTTGTCTGATGGGCGTTACTGCGTCTGAATGTACAATGACATGCTCAGCCAAGTGTAGGTCAACCCTTCATATGACAGAAGACAGCAGAACCCACTTGACCACGTTCCCTGCACATCTGGTAAATCGCACTAATTGATGCAGGTTGTATGGCTTTTGTCCGAGCTGTTCTATATACCGACGAAGAGCCACGAAGAACCCGATCGATCACGGAGAATGACGCTGGATTATCTGGTAGACTTGCGAAGACCACAAGAATTGCGTAGTTCTTCCACCCACATGGTAGTATATATCTGGAGCATAAATTGGGCTGATATCGCTGTAAAACATGTCTTTCTGTCATCGGAACAGAGATGACACAGAACAGAAGCGCGAGCGTCCGAATAACAGCCAATATCAACCATCTTAGCTCAACTACCTTAGGTAGTACTGCAAGCCCGATGAAGGAAGTTATCGAGTTTAAGCTCATGTCTGAGCCCATATGTCCAAGCATTCTCTCATTGTACATCTCGACATCCGCAACCAGAGACCCGGTTACGGATATCATTGACACTTCACAGAATACGATTATAGGTACCCGAACTTCTTTTGTAACATTCAATCTGGCCATGAGCTTAGTCTTGTTGCATCGTGCCAGATTTTGCTGTGAAGGTGTTATCTCATGGTCAGTGAGTCTCGGGGGTATCACCATCCCATAAGTACATCGTTCTGATGGACGAGAAACGATGCACGCCTTTCTGAATCTAAACCAGCAGTTGCTATTCATAACGTAATATAGATGATACAAGCTTCTTCCGTGCGAGGGTCCATGTACGTTGAACTCCCAGTTATACTGGAGTCCTAGCAGTACTCAGCAACCCGAGCCACAGACACAGGATGCCGGAATTTCATCATGGTTCATCTTCGTTGTTGAATCGGTAACCATTCCTCGTCATTTGCGATTTGTATATAACCTTCGACCGTTGGCTGGACTGAAATTAGAGCATGCTTTCTTTGACAGAGCTCCAATGGATATATTCAGCTGCGCGGTATATGCTTTAGTCGAAGACATTGTTGTATGTTATCTCCCGACTGAGAAGAAATATCTGAACGGTAATAGCCGCGACAAGCATGGCACTTGACAGTTTCCGAAGTATAGTAGCCCGCCTCTTTCTGGCTTTCCACAACACAATATACGTAAAGTGCTCTATAGTTCGCGGTATGATGCTATAGACAATATTTGTGATCACGGAAACATCCGCGCTGGTGTGGTATATATATCTATATGGCATTTCCATTAGCAACTTCTCATTATATTATCCATAAAAGTGATGTACTTGATTGTCTTACAAGCGTGCAGGCATGTTATAGCAAGGAACAGCGGATTTCCACTTCCCAGATCTACCACTACCACATCCGCCTCGCAGAGGAGGACATATCCCTCTACCCATGAGGGTTATATTTGATGGTCAGGATATGTATTTTTCTCTGCCGAGCTCGGATTATGTCCGGCGTAGTAGAGTAAAAGCTGTGCTTGTATCCTGCTAACCAACCCTGGTTCATTCAATCGAGTGCGTAGACAAGATGGCGGAAATTTTGGACAGAAGTTATTGCATAGACAATTCCACAAGGCGCGCAACGAAAGGTATATAGCTGATGAGTCAAGTCATGATGCTTGAGTGGGTTACTGTGCATCGTTATCAGTAGTGGGTATATATAGAGAATGGGATCCTGATGGTGGATGGGGAAGAGGGACAGGATGGGGTGGGAGGATAGTCGGGTTTATATAGGGGTCTGTTACGGCTGGGGTGAATTAGTTGAGGTAATGAGTATAGCGACAAGATGTTAATTATCTGTGGTTGAATGAGGGTTAGGCTTGAATTGGCGTCTTGGCGGAGTTAAATGGGAGGGTTCAGGGGTGAATTAATCAAGTCAGTGTGTGCACTAGCAAGATGAGTAATTAGGCTCTATAGGTCTATAGGTAACTATCAGTATCTTGGCAGATACTTCATTGTTGGCTGTGAAGGTGGGAAGCATTCCCATGCCAGTTGACCAAATCATACATTAAAAAATTTCATTAGAAAGGAAATATTAAAGAGTGTAGTCTATCGCTAAACCATGGTTCAGACGAAGTCATTAACCGAACACCATACCGCCATAAAACAAAGCCGACCACCCAGGGTATACAATCATTAGTGAAAACTGCTGTGATGGTGGCTTTCATGACTATCACCATCGGCCACCATCTCTATCGTCTGTGACACATCCACCGTCTTGTGAATGCCTCCAGCCTCATTACCTGCCATGTCGACCGTCCCTGCAAATGTAATCAGATGTGACTGGTCGGAGGCGGACTCGGTGCCATCGGCGCGGCGGGAGTTACCGAGGGAGAATCGCTTGTTGCTTCCTTTGAGTTTGCTAAGGTTGACAGAGGACTCTGGTTCGTAATAACGTTGAGAGCTGTACTCCTTCTTGCGGAGCTTGTTGATGAGGATGTTGATCGTGGGGAGACAAGCGCAAATCATGGCCACGCCTCCTTCGGCGTTTCTAGTTTGGGGTTAGTCTGCAGCATCGGTTATTTTAGAATAACAACTTACCCTGAAAGAATAACGATCATAAAGACAATTGTCTGATCATTGGAGCTACCATCACGCAAGACCAGAACCAGCCGGTACAAACTGAAGGCCGTGGCCAGACCACCCGCCGACAGCATGCCGATGACCCGCAACTTCTTGCTCCGTGACATTTGAAGCGACCAGGTGAGTGGCAGAGGTAGAATCAGGATAATAAAATCTGTCACCACACTGATGACAGAGTCGGCGATCAGGGCGGCCCGTTGATTGAGACAGCGTGCCTTTGGATCGAGCGTCCAGTATCCCGGAACCGGGTCGCACATACGGATCTTGACGACCTCGGCAACGATGTAGTATATGCAGAGACAGCCGAGGAGGCCGTAGATGAAGTAGATTTTGGAACGGTAAGGACTGAAGATGCGAATGAGGATTGAAAGGAGTGCGATCTTGACGAAGAGTGCCATGGGGCAGTAAAGAACGGTGGCGATGTAACAGAACTAGTTTGATCCTCAATTAGCCGATGTACTTCAAGTCCCTTTGATAGCCGGGAGTTCATACCTTGCGAAAAAGAATCTGGTGTGCTTCAGAGACATCGTCAATGTGGTAACCCCCGCCATAGTGACCCACTGGAGTCAAGTTAGTTGGAGCTGCTGGAGAGATAAGAACGATGCATACCGGCAATGGCAATGCCACAGTATCCCATGAACAGAACCTGCAATAATCAGTGAGTCGCCCTATGAAGGCACCTGCAGTCTCAACGTACCCATGCTATGAGACATGACCCTGGGAAAGTTAGCACTGATATCTGAAGAAAAGTCAAGCAGACATACAGTCTTCCACGCCTACGAACTGTTTGTAGTAGATACGGATGGAGAAACGCAAGAGAACGAATATGCTAATGATCGGAATACACAAACATTGTGTGACGAAATTGATGGTGTTCAAAACATCCTTGGGATGACTGACAGTCATGGCGTGCCAGTGGTCAATGCAGCCTCTTCAAACAGGAGGAAACAACATGGAGCAAGACACTGACCCCGACGACCGCGGGGAGTCCACAAACATTTATAAATAGGTTCAAATTACAGGCGCTTGGTCTGTCCATGCGCACAGCGTCGTCGCCCGGGGTCAAGCTGGCGCTGCGCCGTCTATGATAGGCCCATAAAGCCGCCTAGGGAGGCCCTCAACTTTGGGTCGGAAACTGGGAGAAGAATCCGAGAAATGACTTCAATGGCACCGGGTCACGATCGTCCCGCCCAGGTGTAGATAGGAAAACCTTAAAGGAGGGATACAGCAGCTCCCCGATGCAGTTGGACTGGGAGGCGACCATGGAGTATCCGAGCGGATCGATCGTGATAGGCCCCGGAGGTCATAACGTCTACCTGTTTTGGGAATGATGGACAGGGAGAAGCAAAGATGCACCTTGCATGGATCGTCGTGGTTGCTTGCCACTGGGGCGTTGCACGCGATCGTGGTCTAGTCTAGATATGTATCGTGCTATGTAAATACACTCGGTGTTGCGGCGGCGGCGTCCATGGACCATGGTTCCGAAAAAATTGACACCCGTAGGCGGATCCTTAGCTAAGAGTGTCTCATATCGACGCCGAAACTGGGGTTCGAGAGGGCGCCCCTCTGCGATGCCAATATTTTTTTCATAATTACTATTGGATAATCGATTCTCAAATCCCTCCTCTCCTCCGGACTAGCCGCGGAGACATGGCTGCAGGGCGTCGGAAATATCTCGAACGAACAATGGAGATAATCAGGAGTAATAACCATCCCCGATTATTGCCTCCTCCCCGGGAGCTCGTTCCAATAGCTCCTCGCGCTACCTATGCGCCAGATCCTGGCTGCATATAGGCTGTGGCGACGACGCACTATCTGTCATGGTGCTGCAGAAGAACCCGCCAAGGTCCCGACTGAGGGATTAGTGATCGTCGGTGTCCGAGCCAAACCACAATAGGGTATTCGGCATAAAGGAGAAAGCTGGGAAGTGGAAGCGTCTGTGAAAAGCCCGTGATGCGGCGGCCTCCGGCAAACTGTCATGGAGCCAGTCAACAATGGCAGAATGGATCCCTTTTCACAAGCTTGCCCGGTTAATTGTTGGCCTTAACGGGGGTTGTTCTTCCGGAAGACCGACTTGCGACACCGACCCGTAGTTTAGCGTGTGCCCTAAAGCCTCTAACGTAAACGCCAAGCGCCGCGATGAAGAAATTTGACTTTCGCTTGCTGTGTGTCGAGTGGAGCGTCGGATGGCTTCCATTCCTATTATTTCCTGGTGAATTTGATGGCTCACATTTACCTCGCAACTGTTCCCCCGTTTGATCTGAATGAAGAATTGCCCCCCAAGGTTGTGTTACTTTTGACGAAGGGGGCTGCTATTGAAACTCTCTGGGCTTCTAGAAGACGCCTTTCTGCGCCCGATCAGCAAGGCTGCAGAAGGCTTGAGTCCCACGCGGTTTGCCACGCGCTGCATGTGTATAAGGGGTCAACAAGAAAAAGGAACCTGAGGACAGACAGATGACTAAACTGGAGTCGGGTGCAATCTGTGGTTCTGTGTAGGCTTCGTGGATACACCTCCACTTCCCAAGGTTCAGCCCGTCCCTCCATCCAATTTCTCGTGTCCTCGACACTCTGGTTGGGTTCCAGTAACCTGTCAGGCTCCATCTGTCACCCTCATTTGGCAATGGGTCTGCTGCTCTCCGTTCCAGTCCACTGAGAAGGGAGAGAAGGCAATGAAGCGAACAATAGTGAGGAGTAGCCTTCATGGTGAACGCTGGTTTGCTGTCGCACCACGGCCCGTGTCAACACAGAAAGTTCCTCCCTAATTGTCCACTTGTGGCTCCCTCGTTTGTCTTTACCTTCCCAGGTAGCTTTCCCATAGATTGCATCTTTACGAGAATTCTCACAATGACCATTGTCCAGGCCCAAGGAGCGGATTCTAAGCTCTTTCAGCCGCTCGCCATTGCCAATGGCAAGCTCACCCTCAGCCACCGGGTGGTACACGCCCCCCTGACACGCAACCGGGGCGAACCGTTGAACTCAAACAGTACTCCCGAGAATCCCAATCGGATTTGGTACCCTGGGGACCTGGTTGTCGAATATTATCGTCAACGGGCAACTCCAGGCGGGCTGATCATCTCGGAAGGCATCCCTCCCTCGCTGGAGGTAAATACTCCCCAAATTCCAGCTCCGATGGGTCATTCGTCTGTTCTTTAACACGCAAGCAGAGCAATGGAATGCCAGGAGTCCCCGGTCTCTTCACGGAAGAGCAGGCCGCTGGATGGAAGCGAGTCGTTGATACCGTCCACGCCCAGGGCGGCTACATCTATTGCCAGCTGTGGCACGCCGGCCGTGCTACCGTCCCCCAGATGACCGGCTTACCCCCAGTTTCAGCCTCAGCCAGCGTTTGGGACGACCCCGAAGAGCGCTACACCCACCCCGCCGTGGGAGCATCGGAGCCGGTTCGCTATGCAGACCACCCTCCGATTGAATTGACGGTTGCGCACATCAAGCAAACCATCCAGGACTATTGTAAAGCCGCCAAGACTGCCATGGACATTGGCTTTGATGGCGTTGAACTGCACTCCGGTAATGGTTATCTCCCGGAGCAGTTCTTGAGCTCAAACATCAACCGACGGACAGACGAATATGGCGGAACTCCAGAGAAGCGCTGCCGCTTCGTACTGGAGTTGATGAACGAACTGGCTCAGACAGTTGGCCAGGAGAATCTGGCGATTCGACTCACGCCGTTTGGACTGTACAACCAGGCGCGTGGTGAACAGCGCGTGGAAACCTGGACTTATCTGTGCGAGTCGCTGAAACAGGCGCACCCCGGTCTATCATACGTCAGCTTTGTGGAGCCGGTAAGCATTATCTCATAACCCATTGAATCCCACTTACTAATGTGTTCAGCGCTACGAGCAAATTCACAGTTACGAAGAAAAGGATGCCTTCCTCCGCAGCTGGGGCCTTCCGAGTGTCGACCTCTCCTCCTTCCGCAAAATCTTCGGCTCGACCCCCTTCTTTTCGGCTGGCGGCTGGGACCAGACCAATTCTTGGGGCGTCCTGGAGGCCGGGAAGTACGATGGTCTCCTCTATGGACGGTACTTCACGAGCAACCCGGACTTGGTGGAGAGACTGCGCAGGGGCATTCCCTTTGCACCTTATGATCGCACCCGGTTCTATGGACCCTTTGAGGATAACGCATTCCACTATGTGGACTACGAGCCTGCTCCGCAGACCTCAGCCGGATTGGAGTCCACTAAGGTCCAGGTCCGACTATGATTCATGAATTGTATATACACATGACTGCGATGCTGGTTTAGTTTTATTTAGTTGCTCTTAATCCTTCCGTTGAGAAGACCGATCGGCGACGGAATTGATCCAGTGCTGTACCTAAGTAGATCAAGAAGCCTCCGTGCTCAAAGCGCTCAAGCCGTGTAACCGCCATCAACGACCAAGGCGGAGCCTACCATGTAGCTGCTCATCGGGGAGGCCAGAAAAAGGAGTGCGTCGGCGATCTCCTCCGGTTGTGCCCTACGGCCAATAGCGACTCGCTGCGAGTCTGGCTCCATGAATCCCGCATCCCAATACGTGCGGATCAAATCAGTGTCCGTGTATCTGGATCGTTAGCTAGGCGGATATTACTCCGTAGTATACTGGCCTACGGGGCACTTACCCAGGACAGATAGCGTTGATGCGTATCTCTTGTTGAATGTACGCTTTGGCGTCCTAAACCGGTTTAGTCTGACAATCTGGATGCGATTATCATGAACAACAGACCATTTTTGAGAAAGCAACCACAGCTGCAACCATTAGCCATCTAGGTACACTCATCCACCAATCTCAGTCATCCACTTACCATGCTTGGAAGCTGTATAGGCCGACATTCCTGACCAACCCCCCGGAGCCACTACCCCAAACATAGAAGCCATATTCACGATCGTCCCCCGACCGAGACGCAAACCGCGCGATCTGCAAGACGCTTAGCCGGCCGTCTTCCCCTCAAGTGGACCAGTGAAACATACTCCTGTGTCAGCATCTGGCGTATCACGGCCTTTTGGCAGAGCAGCACCCCGGTCTGGTTAATATCGATCACCCTCTGCCATTCTGCTGCCGTCAGCTCATGGGTCGCGGTCGGTTGCCCCACAATCCCGGCGCAGTGAACCGAGATATCGATGCGACCGAATCGCTCGACGGTACGGCGCACGGCTTCATCCACACATACCTCCTTGGAGACGTCTCCAACCGTAAGTTCCACTGCAACATTGGGATGTGAGGTAGCGAGCTCGTTTTTGGTGCGTTGGAGGAGTACCTCGTTCACATCCAAGAGAGATAATGCTTCGATTCCATTCTGGGCAAGCGTGAAGGCGGTGGTCTTGCCAATGCCTGAGGCAGCTCAGCACGGTTTCCCGATCGGGCTAGGTTGGTACTACCTACCATTTCCACCCCCCGTGATAAACGCCGTTCCTGATACCTTGCAAGCCATGATGCACAGTTATAGTGGTTAATACTCTCTGCCGACTGGGTTGCCGAAGCAGTCAGAACACCAGCTGGCTGGTGAGTGCTGGGCGACGTCCATATATCTAGTTGCTGGCCACTATCCACCACCCCTGTCGGGATTCGAGCGGGGTCAAGGCATTATTGTCTGACTGACTGCCTCGGTTATTCAACCCAGTACTAGTACACGTTGCTACTAGGGATTGCAGATGTCTCTTTCTTTTGCTTCATGTTGTTCTCGTTGGAGTGTACGCACCTATAGTCAACCCTGGTTGACTGTAGTCTTCCTCTTGATACATTGCCATGTGCAACTAGTATGACAACTAGCGTCTTTCACCCATTTTTCCATGGCTAGTATTGGGTGTTATTCTGGTTAATTCTCAAGGTGGCTGGCGATAGTTACACTAGTCAACTTTCTTAGCATGTCAGCTTATGCATATCTCGAATATGGTCATTGTTCTTCACGTCAG